CAAACATTTATCAGTTACTTACTCTACATAAGGCTCTAAGCCAGCTTTAAGAACCATACAAAACATAGGAGTAAATGGTCAAACATTCTGCATGAGACATAATGTAGGAACATGAGCATTTTCATGTGGATCAGTATCGGATCACAAGCCCAGAGTCAGAAGACTTAGATTGAAGTCTTAAGCTCTATACTCTCTAACTATGTTACACCAAACAAGTTTTCACAGTTTGCTTTCTTCTTCATAAAAAGAAGGGCCAGAACCACACTTAAGGACTTTCAGATCCTTAAAGGTCTAATGATTATTTACAAAGGAGTATTTTATTGCCAAAGAAGCCAATGCAGGTACAGATATGGAGAAGATAAGTGGTAAGAGGCTGAAGACTTTGTCCATGATTTCAGAGGGCAGGTAACATTCTAAAATACGAATCTTAATTCTGTCTATAAAAAAATGTGCTACCTGAGAGAAAGGCACCTGTGGCCAAGCTCACGACCTGAATTCTATCTCCAGGACCCACATGGGGGACGGAAAGAACCAACGCCCAAAGTTTTCCTCTGACCTCCACATGCATCCTGTGGCATACATGTGCCCACATACATGCACACATACAAACAGTAATATTTATAAAATTTAATAAAAGATAGGCAAGTATGCACCACTGTATCATAAGGCATTAAGGTTTCATTTCAAAATCAAATACAAAATCATTCAATAGGAAAAATCATAAGACTTTTAATAATGGTTGACACTTTTCAAAGTACTTTTCACACACATTTTTTTGATCTGATGCTCCCAGCAACCCAACAAACAAGACCATATTATTTTTTGTCTGAGTTAGAAAACTAAAGCTTAGAGGGCTTAAGTGACTTATTGAAGACCACCAGCTAACAAGTGGCCAAGTCAGAATTCAAGCCTGGGTGTATCTGGTTGCTATTCCTGAAACATCTCCAAACTTTCCATGAATAGTAAATCAGAGAGCAAATCTGAGAAGAAAAAGAAATGCTGCTGTGGTGCCTGGAAGCTGACTGGAGGGTATTATGTGGAGAGAACTGCCTGCAGCAGAGGCTGTCGGGTCCTTTAACAGTCATTCCCTATTGCAACCCTACTCTCTTTGTTGAGGTGTCCACTGCAGTCAAATGCGAGGCAGGAACTTTCATACCCCTGCCTGGCCCCATATTTGCTCACGGAGACAAACACCCTTTCCCACTTTTTAAAATTGTGGCTGTGTATCATCCTGGCCATTCTAACTTCTGTAGATATTGTGATACAGAGTTGTCATGGATTCCTTCATGCTGCTCTGATAATTCCTTAAATGTCTGTGCACACAACAATCAGTGTCAGGTGGCTCAAGAGGTTTGTGTCACTGTTCCATTGCTAATAAGGCCCTAGGAGGAGATTTCAGGACTCAACAGAACACTGTTGCTCCATTTGCAGAGCTGTGTCATGATCCTCCAAACATTGCAGTCACATGGTAAGGTATATATATAGGAAACCTTAGATCCTAAGGGGACAAGCCTTAAAACTGACCTGTAGCACAATCCAGACACTGAGATGAAGCAAGTGATTCACAGAACAGACACCACTGCAGTGGTTCTGGATGACTGCAACATCAGAATCACCTGGAGAACTTTTAAATCACAATGCCCAAGGGACTCCAAACAGCAAATTAAATTACTCTGCCTGGGCAGGAGTCTTGCACTGCTGTTTTTTAACGGACATTCTCTTCCTCCAGGTAATTGCAATGTGCAGCAAAGTTTCCAATTTGTCCAGGAACACTTTTCAAAAATATTTTATTTGTGTGTGTGTGTGTGTGTGTGTGTGTGTGTGTGCGTGCACGCATGTATATGCCTATATGTAAGTGCACCCAGACATGCAATGCCTGTGACCAGAAGAAGGCATTGGAGCCTCTAGAACTGGAGTTACAGATGGCTGTGAGCTACCATGTAGGTGTGGGAACTAAACCCAGGTCCTCTATGAGAGTACCAAGTTCTCAACCCAAGTCATCTGTCCAGCATGATCAACTTCATTGGTTTAGGACATTGTGAGAATGATGAGTTGGTATAGGAGAGAAGCTGCCATAACTGTGTCATGCCTGGAAAGTTCTATTTATTACAATCATCTACAACTACCTTCCCAGATGGAAGCTATGAAGAATGTTTTCATTCGGCCTGGAGTTTCAGTGACCACCTGCTGAGGTCTCTGATGTTGTTCACGCCAGTTGTTGAATATGACATTATGACAACAAGTGTTTATGCAGGGTCTGCCCTTTACCTAGCATTGTCTGGGGTATGTGACTAAAATGGAGGTGAAAAGGTATATGAGTCTCTCCCCTCCAAGAGCCCATCAGCTAATGAATGACCCAAAGACAAAAAGCAGCAGTTCCAACACTTTGGGTTAAGTCATGATGGGAAATTATTTTATTCATTTGCTTTGGACTTTCTCTCTTTAAGAGGATTTGTGGACGCAGAAACATGTAATTGTTAGAAGGTAAATAAGAAACAGGAATCAGGGCTGGAGAGATGGCTCAGTGGTTAAGAACGCTGGTTGTTCTTGCAGAAGACCCAGATTTGAATCCCAGCACCCACATGGCAGCTAACAATTGTCCATAACTCCAGTCCCAGGGGATCTGACAGCCTCTTCTGACCTCTGCGGGCATTGCATGACAAGGGTGCGTTTACCTACATGCAGGCAATGCATGCATATACATAAAATTTAAAAAAAAATTCTAAAGTTAAAAAAAAAAGGAACAAGAATCGAGACTAGGGAATACATAAATTAGAGAGTCAAGAACAAAAGAAGAAGTCATAGCTGTACAAGTCAGAAGGACCCTCTTGGACTCAGCTTCAAGTTTGGTGTTAAATGCCCTGGCAGCCATATTGAAAAGGGAAATATGGTTAGTTACAAAGTGATTATGGTCAGAAAGTAAAAGAAGATGAGTTCCTCAGGGAAGGAAATGCATTTTAAGCACTTGGCTTGCAAGAGAATGGAGCTTCCTACAGTCTTTATTAATATTCCTATAGTGCCTCTAAAAGTGGATATTATGTGTATTGTAGGACACCCTGCAATAAAAGTGAAAACATATAACTAAAATTCAATTTAGTATGCCCATTTATTTCAAGAGTAGGTGGTCAGAAGTAAATTGATTTGGGTCAAATATAGTCCAGATGAATCTATAGCTAGAAGCTGGAACAGCTGGGAAGTGGAGGGGTCAGATACCCTGACTGCATTATTCATGAACTCATTTCTCTCTACTGAAATTCTTATATGGTGGCTGGCCACATTTTCTGTTTTCTGCTGCAAGGTTGAAGGGTAAACTTTCCATGCTGTGTATGATGTAATGGTTTACGCTAGAGGTCAGCAAGCTGGTTTTTTTTTTTTTTTGTAGAAGACTACGCAGTAAATACTTTAGATCCCATGGGCTAGATGACCTGTGTCACAATTATTCATCTCTCCAGCTGCAGTACAAAAGCAGCCATAGGCAATCCCTAACTGGATGGGCATGGTTGTACCCCAAAGAAACTTGATTTTATAGAAAATAGGTGGCAGGACAAATTCTACCCACAGTTACTCTATGCCAACCTCTGCTATAACCCAGAAAACAAAAGGGAAGCTTGCTGTCAGTATTGTTTTGGTAAAATGAAGGAATTGTTAGAAATTGGGCAATTCTTGTTCAGTGGAACCCTGGCCTTAGTGCTTTGTTGATAGTAGGTAGTGATTACTGCTGGGAAGAACATGGTTCATATTTGGGTTGCAATTCATCATGCTCACAGAAGGAGCATGCAAATCTCTAAGCAATCCATCCAGCTATTCACACATAGATGTGGCGCTCACCAGACACACTGTAGTAAATACATTTCTTGTCCCTAAGGCCAAATACCTAAGAAGAAGCAACTTAAGGGGGGAAGGGTTATTTAGGTTGACAGGTGTAGGAGATATAGTCCATTATGGCAGGGAAGGCATGGCAGCAGGAATCCAAGGCTGGGAAATGCTGGTGCTCAGGGGTTTTCTCCTTTGCCCTTGGTTAATTAGTCTAGATCTAAGGCTTTGAGACGGTGCCACTCACATTTAGAGTAGGTCTTTCTTCCTCAATTAATCTTCTCTGGAAACATTTGCTAAATATCATCTGTATAGGTTACTTTTCTGTTGCTGTGATAAAACACCATGACCAGGGGGCCAGGCGTGGTGGCGCACACCTTTGAGCCCAGCATTTGGGAGGCAGAGGCAGGTGGATCTTTGTGAGTTCAAGGCCAGCCTGGTCTACATAGTGAGTTCCAGGACAGCTGGAGCTACAGGGAGACCCTGTCTCAAAAAGACAAAAACAAACAAACAAACAAACAAACAAACAAAAAACCACCATGACCAAGGCCACTTATAGAAGGAAGACTTTATTTGGGCTTATGGTTCCAGAGGGATAAGAGTCCATCAAGGTAGTGAGGCGTGGCAGCAGCAGCAGGAGCAGAAGCTGAGGGTTCACATCTTTAAGCAGGCACAGGAAACAGAGAAATTGGAAATCAGACAAAGCTTAAGAGCTATCAAAGCCCACCTCCTGTGATGTGCTTCCTCCAGCAAGGCCTCACCTCCCAAACCTCCACAAACATCACCACCAACTGGGGCCAAGTATTCAAATACTTGCAGCTTACATGTAACATTCTCACTCAAACCACCACATCATCCTATCCTTTCTACCTCTGCCGTTTTTCCAATTCTCCTATCACCAGACCAAGAAAATTTGAGCATCTGTTCATAGTTTTGTTTCTAACCCTCTGCCAACATTAACCACAAAGCAGCAAAAATAGAATCAAGAGACAAATGGATAACCTCAGGTAGCTTTTGGGTTTACCACACTGTCATGCTTAGATGAACATTCAGAGCCAACTATAAGTTGCTATGGCCCCAGTGGACTTCAAACCATAAAACCATTCTGATCTCTGCTGCATGTATTAGTTAGCATTGCCTGTGCATTCACTCGTTCACTGAGTTATCTGGGATGTTCTTAATCTCAGGGGCTGAGGATCATTTTCTCTGATGCGTCACGGCTCATCTTCCGGCTCAGTTCCTCCAGTGGTGTGCGGGCCACCATCAGATTGTATGCAGAGAGCTACGAGAGGGATCCCAGCAGTCATGACCAGGAGCCACAGGTACAACAGCAGAGCTGTGTTCTTGGCACTGTGTGTCTTACCTTTTCTGGTAAATAAAGAGAGCTCCCATGGGCCTTTAGTGCAAAGCCATATTAATAGCTTCAATGGCAGACAAGCTGAGTGTGACTTCCAACAAATTTTATTCATTCATTGCAGTGTTTGAAGCAGAAAAACTGCTCTTCAGCATCTGTGGTAAGTTCAGGCCAGGAATTCCCAAATATCTTGCCTCTCTTCACTGTCCGTCCTGCGGCTTAACTTAGGTGATCTATAAAGAGACTTTGTATATATAAGAAAATTTCAAGTTAAAGCCAAATTTATCAGACTCTCAAATCTTCTGATATATTTATTTTTATGTGCATGAGTGTTTTGTCTGCATGTATGTAGATGTACCTGTGTGTGCAATGCCCATAGAGGCCAGAAGAGGGTATAAGATCTCCTGTGATGTTATAGATGGTTGTTGGGTGCCATGTGGATGCTGGCAACCAAACCCTGATCCTCTGCAAAAGTAGCCAGTGCTCTACACCACTGAGCCTTCTCCAGCTCAGATTGGTCAGACTTTTGATTGTACTCATTTAAATTATAAATCTGTGGGTGTTAGGAAAATACTAGGTTAGATCATGACCTTGTAACAATACAAATACCACTCCAAGCTTCCTCTCTCAGAGTGATGAAGCAATCCCAAATGCCTCAAACACACTGCTTATAGCCACATTCACTAAAGCTTCAGACAGCATGGACTGATATCAGGAAGAGCCCACTGTGCTGTTGAGTATATGGGGCTGCCTTGTCAGCCGCCCCTGTCTCCTTGGTCTTTACTTTGATCTGGTTTTGAGGGGCTCAATAGGGCTCAATGAGCTGAAACATTGGTTATAGTTCTTTTTGGAAAAGTAGAGGAGCAGAAGTACAGACTACGCAGAATGTCTAGCTACAGTGTGCTATGGATAAAATAAGACAGCCTGGGGAGATTAATTTCTCTGTCAGTAGTTTGCTTGTTTGTTCATGGCATCTTTCTTTGGAGATGCTCAAAGAACTTGATAATCACAGTGCCATGGATTTTTTCCACCTGCTCCTATAACATCCAAAGATCCATGTAATTAAAATAATTCCAGAAAGGGAAGCCATTCTCAGGGTCACCAGGAGCATGAGTAGATAGAGCCCATGGCCAGTGTTTAGTCTTTTTCCTTTCTTTCTGGATCATGAGCTTTCCATGCAGGGGATGGTCCATGTTCTGCCAAAATAATTTGTTCGTGAGCACATTTCACCCGAGATAGAACCAAACCATGCAAGAACTAGATGGAGGCTTACACTCTCTTTCCAAATAAAACTGTCTTCTACGTCTCATGTTGGGAAGGGCGATTAAAAGCAGGAGCTACGCAGAGGGTGAGGAATGATATTCCTGGCCTCCCTCGCTCTGACTCACTTGGATCTGAGACTATTTTTTCCTCAGCATTCTTTTCCCTATTTGCACAGGGTAAAAGATTATGATTCTTGCTTATTTTTATTTACCTTCCTTGCTGGACTTCCTCCAGGCTATTAGGCATTCTGTATACAAACGAGTCTCTGAGGTGGTCCGTAAAAGAAAAAGGTACTTTTAAAAGGGTTTTCCTTGAAGCCACCCCCCCAAGCCTGCTTTTAGAAGGATATGTGGGTAAAGAGAACATAAATAGTGCTTGCGTAGCCCCCGTTGCTGCATATTTCCACCCTGGCCGTGTGCTAAGTTTGAATGGCTGAGGAATCCCTGCACTGGTGTTGCTCTTCTGATCACTGTCATTCTCTCCCTTTCTAATATCAGAGTCTTTACCCAGACCCAGCTAGATGGGGCTCAGAACATTTAGCACATGATCTAGCTAAAAGTTCTGTATTAAAATAGAATTCCTTATTAAAATAGCACATATCATTGACTCACTAAGTCCTATTGCATAATACGTTTGGATCATGACATTATAGTAAAAACTTAAGAGAATTCTAAACCCATAAGGGAAGGGACGCGAAGGAGGTATGGCAGGCCTACCTGTATTAATTATTGCTCAGTCCTATCTAGGCCCTTTCATTTTGTGGGGGGTCGTCTTATAAATGCTGCTTTCCAGTATGAATTACTTCTGCCTTCCAAGACCTCTGGGAGGAAAAAGCTTTGGTTAACTGTTAACAGAGATCAAAGATATAACAATGTAAAACTGCTGGGTCACTACTGACCAGCAGCCTAACAGGCCAAAGGCTGGTATGTGCTTTCTTAGTTGCAGAGAGAACCCGTTCTACCTTTGGTTTGTTCTTGTTTGTCACCCCAAGAAACTCTCCTGCATAGGCACATGGCTTAAAGTCTGCTCTAATCTGCCATTCAATGAGAAACTTTAAATGTTTTACTTACCCTAACTCTACAGCCATCTGCATTCTAGTTATTTTACAAGAGGAAAGAGAGTTCCCTTTAACTGCCTTGTTAGAATCTGGCTATTTTACTTTCTATATAGATTGTTTATTTTTCAGACATTTTAAACATATAAACAAAGCAGTTCTAAACATTTAGACTGGTTGCCTTAGGGAGGAAGTATTCATAGTCTAGTGATTTAACAAGGAAACCTGTGACACAGTCAATCTGCGAGGGAATCTCGACCCCTAGAGGTAGAGTTTCAGTTGTGTCCTTCCATACAAGTGATTATGCCATTTGTTTTAAATTGATGTCAAATAATTGATCTTTTACTACATCAAAATATTTTAAAATATTCTATCCATCCATACTTATCAATGAGTTGTTGGTGAGCAGAGTGTGGTGGTTAGAATGAAAAATGTCTCAAGTATTTGAACCCTTGGTCTCCAGTTGGTGGTGCTATTTGCCAGGAGGTTACAGAACCTTTAGGAGGTACAACCTTGCTGGAGGAAACACATCACTGGGAGTGGGCTTTGAGAGTTCATAGCCTTGCCCCACTTGCAGAGCATTGTCTCTGCTACATGGTTGTAGAAGATGTGACCTCTCAGCCTTCTGCTCTTATCGCCATGCCTGCCTGGTTTTTTATCACAGCTACAGAAAAGTAATACAAGGAGGAAGGACACAGGGGAGGGCCACAAGGAGACAAGATGTGTGCATAGCGCTCCTTTTTTGTCTTTAGTCTATGAGAAAGAAACCGTCTTCAAAGGTTGATGGCTGGGAATTTACATAGTTTTAAAACTACAAGGTTATTTTAATTTTACTAGCAATCAGAGGGCCTCTAATGGGCTCTCAACCCAGCTGGTAACAATTTGGAAAAAGGGTTGAGCCAAAAGGGTTTAAATTCACAGGTATCTAGAAACAGTATTGCTGTTTCCAACTTATTAGCAAGACTGATTGATAAATTAACTTCTCATTCACTTTCTTCCTTGTCCCTCAGAGCTCATGGGTGGAGTAGCTAGTGAACAATAGCTAAGGGTTAGGGTAATCAGGGGATGACCGTCAGCTTGGGACTAATCAAGATAGAACCAACCACACCCTAGCTCACTCCAGTCTTAGATTCTCCTGAACTTGGATTCTCTTGAAACTGATGGATCTATGTAGTTTTGATTTGCAGTATCTAGGAGACAAGTTTCTAAACACTAGCATCTTTCTCTATTTGATTCATGTGTCAAGCCCAAGCCCATCCATCATTTTATTCTACCAGTTCTTACTGTGAATTTATACATAGAATGCATAGAGCCATTTTGTTTTACACTACACAGGGAGAACATACAAGCAAAACACTTTTGAGAAGGGCCCTATTAGTACTTTTGTTGAGAGTAGTCCATTTAAACCAGGCAGTGTGGTCACTCCAGGTACATGCTTTCATTCTATTGTAGAACTACCTGTCTCCTTACAGAGGAGTTTCTGAGAAAGAGGGAAATGATGAAGAGTTATATCAGAGATGCCCAGCCCAGACTCATCAGAGCCACTTGGAGAGAGCTATAGAAATATCTATGCAGGCCTATACTCAGAGATTCTATTTAAGTTGTCCTGAGGTAGGACTTGAGTTTTATCTAGATGATTCTAATTAGATCAAGATCTATCAAATTTCAATTTTATACTAATCATCTGGGGGGTCTGGTTAAAAATGACTTTGAGGAAGATGAAAAATTCTGCTTGTCCCTCCATTTCTTGAAAAATGGGGTTCAAACCCTGGGCCTCCCACATGCTGGGTGAGTGCTCTTCCACTGAGCCACACCCTAGCCTGACTGTATGTCTAGCCCTCAAGCTGCCAGGGTGTACTGTGCTGCTGGTCCAGCCACACTTTGTACAGAAAAGAATGAGAATTGTGAAGTCATGACTTCAGGACACCTAACCCCAGTGTCTTCTCACATGTGCTCTCTGTCCTCCAGATTCCATCCCCATTGCCTACTTTACCCCAGTTGTTTGTCTTCAAGGCTAAACTGGCAGCCTCCTACATGTCTGCTGCTCCCAACCAACCAACCTCCTTCTTTCCTTCTTCTCTATTCCTCTCATTCTTTCAGCCAACTTACCCTGGGATTCTTCCTTGATGGCTTCCTCTCACATACAACTTCCAATTCAACAGTGAATCCCACCATATGACCCACCCAGATCTCCCCCTGTCTTACCACCTTTACCATCTTTACCCAGGGTCAGTGACTGTTCTCTCCCTGGATCACTGTAGTAGTTTCTCGACTGTCTCCATCCTGCCATGCTTGCCCATTCATTGTCCCCACTTGATTCTCAGCACAGCAACCAGAGCAATGCCTTTAAAACATGTTAGAGAACCTCAGTGATCTGATAGACTCCTTCCTTTGATCAGCTTACTTAGAAATGAGATCAAGCCTTTACTGTAGCCTTGAACACCCTGTTGAAACGACCCTTTCTCCTTTGACCTCATCTCTGACCTCTCTTTTCTCTACTCTTTGTTCTGTGAACACACCAAGAGCATTCTGCCTTCCACATGGGATTGAAAATGGCTGTTCCCTATACCTGAAATGCTTTTCCTCCTGATAGCGATGCTGCCTGCCCCTTCATCCTCAGGGAAGGCTTCCCTGGCCACTATATATAAAAC